CTCCAGGCTCCTGTCAGGAGCTGTGCAGAGCCAGAAGGTCTCCCCTCAGCCTCCTTTGCTCCAGGCCCCTCAGCTGCTCCTCACAAGACCCATGTTCTAGACACTCTAGAATTAGGTGGTTTCCCAACTTTCCCACCAGTAATTGTACAGCAGCACAATATTTGCTTAAATTTGATATCATGAATAAAATGAACTACAGAAGTCTTTCAGTCATGGTGAAAAATAACAGGAGCTCACACTTCTGCAACATCACAGAATCTGTACCAGACACAAGACATGAAACACCCAAATTCTGGAAAAAAGCTGTTCACAACAACCTGAATGAGACACTTCTACAGCAGCTATCTGGTGGTTTGAGGTTACTTGCTTCCTGACTCGTAAATGGCTGAAGGCCTGGGGGGTATTTTGAGAAATTATCACTGTGTGTTCCCAAATTTGCTCTTAGGGATTCGAGCAGGAGGTGGACAGACCTTTGGTCTCACCCCGACAGACACTTCTGCCTTCTTCAAATGATGGCTGATGTGTTCCATCACTGAAGTTTTGGAGAAACATAAACACAAAGCCTGAGAAGGGCACTGATGTAGTGAAGATGGCAAAAACACAAGCCATGTTCCTCACTTCTCTTCACCAGCCATAAATCTGGAAGCTGCCCCAGATAAAACAATACCACCACCTGCTTGTCAGCTGTGTGTTACCTTTAATCCCTTCCCTAGACTTCCTTTAACTAGAATATATCAAATAAATAATAAAAACAAAATAGTTCTGGCAAGGAAAGGACAAAAAGCAGTAAGAGAAATGAAGTTCAGCTTTCTAGTCTTACAATCAACTCTCTCGTGCACTATCACCTTCCCTCCCCTCAACACCACTTGCAAAGAAACATTTTCTCAGATAAGTCCTAAAAAAATATACTCTGAAGGAAAAACAGCATTAATGTTATTTTGATATATGCAAGAACTCAACGAATCCTCACCTTCCAAACAGACAAGAACTTGCAGTGAGTGGAAAACTCACTCCATCTATCCCATTCCGCTTAATCCCAACGACAGTCCCAAAAAGAGGCATCTTCAAAGCTGAGGAACCTCACCTGGGAGTGAAAGTCGAAATTATTCATCCAAATAATGCTTTCTGTATTTACACACCTCAATCAATGGAAGTATTTCTTTTTATTTCTATTCAAGGGACGTTTTCCAAGGTACAGCAGGAGACTCAGGTTCAAAAAGAGACCCACTGACCGTAGCTGGATCCTCCTGAACAAGGAGGGAGCAGAGAGAAGCACTTGCAGGAAGCCAGTGGGGAAGAGGGCTGGAAGTTTGGTGGTCGCTAGGGTCTGGGGAGAGGCTGCTGACCCAGCTGAGAGGCTGGCAAGTGCCTCTCTGCGTGCATGCACAGAGCAAACAGGAAGAATGACGTTTTGATCAGATCCCCTCTCAGTCTTCTCTTCTTCAGACTCAACAGCCCGAGGAATCTCAGCCTGTCCTGGCCACAAAGATGCTCCAATCCCCTCACTATCTTCGTAGCCTTATGTATGAGCATAGCACAAACTACAAGCAATCCTCAAAAAAACACCTATAAAATGCGCTGTCAAACACGAGACATTCGAAAGCGGCAAGCTAAAACCAAGCGACCTAACGTAGTTAAGAGCGACCCTTCTGAACGCTGTTGTTGAGCTACATACGATCAAATCCTTGCTGAAAAAAAACACCCCAAAGCGAGATCTGACAGCACCCTCATGAGAAACCTCTTTCCGCACGCTATATAAACGGCACTTCTCAGCTTTCCTTACCCAAAGCGCCCTGTCCACGGTTTCACAACTCCAACAACAGCCCCACAAGCTGCAGAAGCCAAACTTCCACC